TTAGTTAATTAAATATATATATATATATATATATATATATATATATATATATATATATATATATATATATATATATATATATATATATATATATATATATATCTGTGTGTGTGTGTGTTTATAAATCGGGTACCACCCACTGTCACCTCGGGCAATGGTGGTCGGCGGCGGTTCATGGCGGCAAGAGGCGGAAACCACCATTGTTATGGCAGGAGTTATAAGTTTTTAGGTCCAAACACACACATAAGCACACAACCACCCAAGGTGGCGGCTGGTGGTGGTAGAACGACGACATGAGGTGGCAGCCACCACCTCACGGTGGTGGTGGTGGGTTTTTCTTTGGTTCTCCGGCCAAGAAACGCTCGTATCATTAAAACACACACACACACACAAACACTATATCACACACCCAACCACCTCTCACGGTGGCTGGTGGCGGCAGAAGAAGGAAGCATGGCGGCATCCACCATGGTTGGCTGCCATGGTGGTTATTCACGTTTTCCGGCCACTTAAACACACCCATCGACTGAAACACACACTCCTTCGTCGACCTAAACTGAACACGCATTCATACACACGAAAATAACATACACAACACCGCCACCCACGCTGTGACAGGAGGTGGTCGGAAGAACGTTGTCAAACGTGACAGCTGTCGGAGCGGCAACGTCCATGCTTCATCGATCTTCTATATCGTCGGCAACAGCAGCGGGTGATTGGCTTCGTCTGTTTCCGACTTCAACGGTAGAGGTGGTGGCGGTTGGAGGTGAAGGGATATAAGGGTGGCAGCTGTATCATTTTAGGGTTAGGGTTAGGGTTAGGGTAGTGTACCAGTTAACAAAAGGGTGGAGGGGAATGGGTTTTAAGTCCTGTCTCCAAATTAAACATCAACGTATTTGTACAAGATTGGTCTCTGCCTCCACAAATCCTTTTCAATTTAAATCCAATAATTACCAAACAACCCTTGCTCACGAACTTCTTTACATTTTAATTCCTAATGTTACAATATAGACCCCAAATTCTGGAAATTATATCATTTAACCCCTTATGGCCAACACTGATAAGTTATTACGGATTTAAGGCTAAAATAAAATAATATATAAAATACATCTCGAGGTTTTAAGGCTTATTATTTATTTATTTACTTATTTTAATTTTAACTTATTTATTTATTCAAACGGAATGTTACAATGGCCCTCGTATGTAAGACCGGGATTTGGCCATCGACATTAAAAGGAAAGACCATGGGGGTAGCCAATGACACTTATATGTAAGAGCAGGATCTGTCCCTCGACATTCTGCACTGAATGTTTACAAATTAATCTGATGTTTTGAGAATATTTTGACTCTGAATGTCTTTTGGAACAATTAATGAATGAATTTAATTTATTTAAAATGAAATTTTTTACTCGGTATTTTATGGACGTTACATGTTTTGTATATGATTTCCTTACATTCATAAGCATGTATAAACTTTAGGTTAATCTCATAAATTACCTTGTACTTTGTGTTTTTTCATATTAAACTTTAAACTTATTTTTTGAATGAAAAAGACATGGTAGTTTTCTATTTTTTTTTTTCGATATGGCCATTTTAGTCATTTTTCCAAAAAATTTTGTTAAATTTGAGGGTTTTTTTTTGGAGAAAAACTAAAAAAGTTGAGGATTTATTTGGAAGCAGTTAGAAGGTTGAGAGTTTTTTTTCGGAAAAAAAAAGACAAAGCTGAGGGTTTTTTTCGGAAAAAAAAAATACAAAGGAAACTCATGCACCCACCTTTTTCTACTTCAAGATGCCAATAAGATAATTCCAATCTGTTCTAAGGTTCCGGGAGGATTCTCTTGCACTAAGGACCTTGATCATCTTCTTCAAACACACTTCCATGGTCACCAACACTCAAAAACACATGTAAGGGGATATGGCTTCACAATGGACGTTTCAGAGGTGGAGGTTGGTGAATAGAATGAAACACTAGAAGTTAGCACCATTATATATGGCTTAAGACCCAGGATATAGGGTTTTGAACCCAACCGTCTTCGTGCAAAGACCAATACATGGTCACGTCGCTACTTATTGATGTTGCCCGTGTCGCGACATATAAAAGTCGAACTGCATTCCGCCAGAAACTCAAAAACTCATTGTTAGATTAATTCAACACGCAAACAACCAATTCCCGGAAACGAGTGTTACAACACCCATACTCACGTACCCTACCCACACCCACATGCATACTCACACGCCCGCGACAGCAACATCGACACATACCCCAAACCTACACCTACACGCACTCGCGTTCACCCATGCCAACAGGCCAACATAGGTTTAAGTGTGTAAGAGTTTAATAAATAAAAAATATCGTTTTCTAAAGTAGTTATAAGTTAGAAAAAAAAATAAAAGAGTATTTTTAGTTATATTACATAATTTTCTTTCCGTTTTCTTTGACAAATCTGGAAACCAGAAAACAGAGTTTATTAAATGTCAACCAAACACTTAGGAAATTCTAATTCTTTCGGATTTCAATTCCTTTAACATATTTCATTCCTTCTAAGACATTTTGTGATATAAAAGCCTCCCTAAAGCTCGTATTCATATTTATGCATTTATGTTGTCATTACAAGTCTATTAGGGGTGAGATGGTGCGATCTTAAGCCAAAACCAAATCACAAACCACAAACATCAGTTTTTATATCTTAAAACCAGAATGTGCCGTTTTTCAAAGGGTGCGGTCTTGCGGTTTTTCCAACAATGTGGTTTTATTTTTTATACCACACAATGAAATGGTGCGATTTCGGTTTTAAACCGCCTAATAAATGTGCAATTTTCTACAGTGGTGCAGTTTTAAAACCAAAAGAAATCAAAAGCATTTTTTTAAAATAAAATTTTAGCATTTAGCCTTTATCCAACATGCTTTAAGCCTAGAAACATAAAATAATTTTTGTTATTTTTTTTATCCACAACCAGAATGAGATTATCGTCTTTGTTTACAAAACACAAACGCAACTGAGACTCTTGAGCTTTTATGAGTTATAATGTTGTATTTGATATTTTGATTTATCCAAAAAAACATAGTACTAAACACTTGTAATAAACATAAAAAATATTAAACATCCATACTAACATAAACTTTTATAATGTATATAATTATAGTGTTGAGGTCGGTTATTTTTGTCAAACTAAAGACAATATGGTCGGTTTTTGTATCGGTTTTGATTTGTTATAGTTTTTTTTAGTGTTTTTTTTAAAATCAATTTGATATTTTCTTAGATGGGCGCATTATCGTGAGGTGGCCCAAGAAAACGTCGGTATAACGGTCGGAACACCGCTCCCTTGGGTGTATTTAGGCGTTATGGCATTGTGCGTTTTCCTAGCATCGGGAGGCAACGGGTGAGTTATCGGCTTGCAATGTCGAACGGTCAAAAAAGAGACCGTTGTGAAACGGTTAGAAAGTAAAAAAAAAAAATCCATTTTAACTCACATATTCGCTTCATTTTTTTACCTAAACAAAACCTCTATTTCACTTCATCTTATTAGACACAACTCAACCAATTTCTCATTCAACCAAATATGGATCAGAACCCTAACACTCCTCCTCAAAACACAAACACATCCATTTCGCTCGGTTTCGCGCAATACGAGGGCTACGTGAACCTCATCAACTCGCAAAACTCACCACAACTACCATTTTCTGATAACTTTTTCAATCCCGCCTCACCCTATATGCAACAAAATCCAAACCTTCAACAAAACATTTTCAATACCTTTGCTTCCATTCAACAAACAACCACACAACCACTACCCACACAAACAACTACACAACCACCCCTAACACAAGAAACGCAAAATACGGATGCTGAGACGCAAGCGGGATGTAGTCGGAAACCTAGAGGGAGAGGGAAAAAGAAAGGGAAAGTGGTCGTAGTCGTCGAAAACAACGAATAACCTCCAACATGGTGGACACCGGAGGAGGAGCATGCGTTGGTGGTGGCGTGGTGCGGGACATCAAAACATTCAACTATGGGAAATGATATGAGATGTGGATTTTTGGAAGCCGCAATCGTAAAATTTCGCACATTTTGAACAAAGGAGAGGCATATCGCCATGGGCGGATCCACAATAGATCTCGAGGTATCCCGGGATACCCCTAAAAAAAATATTAGGTACTATAATTTTTTTAGAAAATTTTCGTTTTATGTAGTGTATACATACATAATATTAATATGTTTAGCGAGATAATAACACAAATTGTAGTTGGTTTAGATGGTTAAGGCGTTAGGGGATGTTTTCGGAGGTTACAAGTTCAAATCTTCTTGCAAATATTTATTTTCGTAGTTCCTTTTATATAGCTTTATACAGATTATATTATTATATTATAATGTTGTGAAAATTAAACACAAATATTGAGTTGTCTCTATTTCTAATCTTAGCCTTCCATGAGTGTATTTTATTTTGTTTATCAAAATTTTCAACTTCTTTTTTTAAAATTCTAAAATTGTCCTACATTAGCTATAACATGAAACATAACTCCTATAAATCTGTTATATAAGCAACACAAGCTTCTCAATTCTCAACAAGTTAAACTTTTGAATGAGTTTGAGTTTAAACCCGAAACCGAGTTTGGAAAACCGAGAAACCGAACCCATCGGTTTGGGATACCCCTTTACTTTGAACCTGGCTCCGTCACTGATATCGCCCGCCACTATATCACAATCAGGATATGCTTAGCAGCAAGTGGACTATGCTTAATTAGAACACGTTCGAGTTCACGATCTAGATTATTACTTCCTCGAACCAGCAAACATAACAACACGAGTAGCTTGTGGCCCGCTTAAGAGATGCTCCACCTAAAAAACTTAGTTCTTATAAAAAATTGAATTTTTTTTTTTTCGTTTTCAAATTTATTCATAGTAAAGAAATAGAACTTAAAAGATTTAAAATTATAGAAAATACAGATAAATGATACATATCTATTCACTTTATCTATGAATCACAATATAAATTAATATTTTGGTGTTTTTTTTTTGTTTTTTTAATAATTTCCTCCATTGCCGTGCAACAATCCACTGTCGAAAATTTATTTTTGTGCTCCATCTGGAAAAACTCCTTGGTAGGGTTTTCTGTTGGCGTAAGCACTTTATCGGTATCATCTTCTATGATATCTATGACAAACTATATATCGATCCTTCTAAAGTACCCCTCGTCTTTCTGAAGCCCGAATAGGTTTCGGAACACTATTCTTCTTATTCACATGACCACATTCACTGCACTTGCCTTTTTTTCTATCACCAATATCAAAACACTTTGATATATGCTCAAGTTCCAAAATCCCCTCTTCAATATCCGAAAGCTCTTCGTTATTTTCATTATGATTTTGTCTATACCTTCTAATCTTCTCGAGGCTTGCACCAACTTTAATCGCCATTTCCTCGATCTTTGATTGCATTAAAAGATTCTCCTCGCGGACTTCCGTGAGGTTCTTTTTCATATTTCTATATCCATTAAGTGATCTCATAAGTTGGTCTTTAAGGGCCTTGTTATGCTCATAAACCGAGGTTTTTTCTTGAGGTTCTTTCACTCCAGGCTCGTGGACCTCCGCACAATCTTTAACCCTTTCCAACAACGAATCGTTTTGAGCTTTTAGATCTTCGATATGATCCTCCATTTCGGCTAATTCATGGGCTTTTCGGGCCAACTCCCCCATCATGATTTCTTTTTCTTTTCCTAAACTTGAACACATGGCCTCTAGGCTTTTACGGGCCGCTGAGCTGGCACTCAACTGTCTCTTAAGTTTCTCTTTGTCATCAACCACATGTGATTCGGTTGATCGCTTCTCGTTTTCAACAATACTAGTTCGCATATCGCTATTGCAACGTCTTAACTCAGTTCGATCAGCCCCGAAGGATTGACATTTTTGAATACGGGTTCGAACCATGTCAAGGATGGTCATCATCCCAGCCACCCTCAGCATCCTTCGACCATCATGTTTATGGGTTTGGCAAGCTTCCTTATGATCTTGAACCAATTTTAGTAACAACTTAACATTTGCAGCGACACCTATGATCAATAAACATCAATAAGATGAAAACTATAAGGGTGAGCATGGTTTGGTTTAATTTTAGTTTTTTCTTTATACTGGAAACCGAACCAAAGAAAGTTTGGTTTCTAGTTAATGGGATTAATTTTCACTTGTATCGGGTTTTAGATCTTTTTGACTTTTCGAATCTTGTGTTGAAGTTTTTCGGTTGCATATAACATTACCAATAATTTATAATATATGAACTTATTATTTAAAGTCAGTATTCATAAAATTGTAACGTTCTTTATTGAATTTCACAATATAAGTGAACGGAATTAAAAAGTTCAATCTGCAGACGAAAACCCTGGTATTTTTGGTAGATTTTTTTTTTAATTACAGTTTTTTAGTTGTATAAAGATATATAAAAAACAATCTGTTACATATACTTGCTGGGGTCAAACTCCATGAAAGCAAGAAGCTGGTTTTTGTTGAATATTAGGATATATAGCGACAAAAAACATTTTAGAAATTATATGAAAGAGACAATTAATAATGAAAAAAATTATATATCTTTTAAAACAACGTCGTATTTTGATACGGTGAAACAACTTCGTATTTTGATACGGTGAAGTGCGTTTTTTATTTTCAGCTATAGAAACAAAAGGCCAAACCAATATTCTTACAATTTCCAACAGAAAAACAAACTGTAAGTTTGATTGGTTGCCATTATTTGATTTCATTTCACTTTTCCTGTACACCCTATATCAAAATCACTCATTTAAGAAATCTATAAAGCCGAAAGAGATCAAAACTTTACCTTCTAAAGCCGAATCATCGTATTGTTCATCGACTCCTGATGACAAAGGAATTGAATCCAGCGATGTTTCTCGATCCATATTCATTATAAAGAACTTGAAACAAGGAAAAAGTAATGAAACTTACAGAAGGAAATCAATAACTGACCATGAAAAGAAAGAATATATATGGTGACCGGAGAAGAAGAGAGAGAGGTGGGGAGGGGATGCTTTCGTGGAAGTTCCCTCTCTTTCTCCTTGTCGATCCTGCAAAAGTCTTATGGGTGAAATGTTGTCACATGTGAATAATATTTTTATGAGTTTTGTGGTGAATAGTCTGATTGGATTTGATGGTGGTTGTTCTTGCGCAATTATTGGGGGGTTGTTCAACTTTTTAGATTGACATTTGTTGGGGTGGTTTTGACTTCCAAAGACGAAACATGTGCCAACTTTTAGTCACAAAGAAAAGCATTATTACTTGACGTATCTGAAAACCTTTTAATTTAGATATTGTATTGTGAAACATACGTACTATTATAAAATACATAACAAAGTTTTTCACTGCTCTTGTTTTTCTATAATTGTGGAGGGATTTATGATGAAAGTATGTTGCTAATTCGGTTTAGCAATGAAGTGTTGTCACTAATCCGATCTTTGGTTTAAAGTTATTGGCAAAACACATGATTTTTTTTTTCAAAATCACCTCAGTGCTACGACTGTCAAACAAAAATGTGGCAAGTTTCGATATGGATGCTACGTACTCAAGTATAGAGTTGACATAATAATATAGAGAAAAGGAAAATGATTGTAAAATGGCTAAATTATAACCCTAATCGTTAAAATGAATTGTTAAGTTATAAACCGACTATTCTCTTTCATAAAGCCCTATGATAAATGGAGGGTCGAGATAAGATTATTGCACAATCCACGTAACCTTACTAAGCTAATAAATGTTGCATAAGATAAGAGAGTCGGTGGGTAGCCCCGACCTATATAAATGTGCACACTTATTTAGGGCATCCACAATGCATTAAACTTGTTAGAGTTTAATGGATTGACACATCATCATTTTACTTGATATACAACTCTATATTAATTTTCCTACAATGCATTGAACTCATAGAGTTTAATTAAATATATATTTAATAGTTAACATGTTTCATTTTTTCCATTGAAGAGTTCAATTGTCATTGAACTTTGTATCCATTGAATGCCAACATGGCATCCCACAACGGTAGAGTTAATTTATTAAATGTCAATTAGACATGCCACATCATTAGCGGCGACATAGATCATTAGCGGCGACAAGTTCATCAATAGCGACGAAGTAGTAGCGGCGACTTATTACCGGCGACGCGTCGCCGCTATTACTATTACCGGCGACAACTTGACTTATTACCGGCGATTTTTGTCGCCGCTAATGATCGTTTTCCTTGTAGTGGGAGATCAACCATAATACTTGAACATCTATATGTAACACCGATATATAACACCTACCAGGAACAACATGTAATATAGTGGGAATTTAATGATATACTTTTTTTATTATGTAATTCGTTTTTATGCTAGATGATATCTTTTCGAAAAAATAATAAGATCATTTGGCAAAAAAAAAAGTTCCCAATTTTTTATAAATTGATTTGTAGTTGAAACCATTCATAAAAAAATCATTCCATTATTATTCATTTAAAGATCAAGTGTTATTTATATTAAATGATCAAAATTTGGGTACATAACATCACTTTTTTGGTCATACCTGCAACTAACCCAAAAAAATATTGAGTTAATCACATTATCCTTTTGGTCATATTTATGATTAACCAAAAAAAACATAGAGTTAATCATCTTATATTTTTTAGTCATATACGTGTGATTAATCCAAAAAATATTAAGGTAATCCCTAAACTTACCAAAATATGCTAACTATATAATACCAAATCTTTTCTTTTTCATTCTAATAACTAACCTTTTTTTTTAAACGGCAAACGAATTAAGAGGAAGTCTACTAGCAATATTTTAGCAAGTATCCCGAGTTCGAGCTTCTTTAAAGGGAAAACTCAACCTCCATAGAGATATCAAGGGAAAATTTCCCCATATATGGCACCACAAGATGTACTTTAAGGGGATCGAATTCCCAACCTCACGTCCTACATGAATATAAAATCCGGTGCATTAACCCAGCTATGCTAGACATCACTTGCTTTAATAACTAAATGACCACCTCATATCTTCCTACCTATTTTAGATGATGACACTTGTTATTTAATTTAATTTAATTTAATTGGGATGTTAAATTTGTACACTTGTCATCATCTTAAATAGGTAGAAAGAAAAGTAGAAACAAAGGTGGAGGATATTTAATTTCTCTTCAAATATATATATATATATATATATATATATATATATATATATATATATATATATATATATATATATATATATATATATATATATATTTGAAGAGAAATTAAATATCCTCCACCTTTGTTTCTACTTTTCTTTCTACCTATTTAAGATGATGACAAGTGTATATATATATATATATATATCTATATATATATATATATATATATATATATATATATATATATATATATAGAGAGAGAGAGAGAGAGAGAGAGAGTCAAGATCAAATAAGAAAAAAAATTTGTAAGAATTTTTTTTTCTACATATTATTTTAGTGAAAAAACAAAATGAATCACTAAATGATTCATAAGTAAGATGATTCACAATAAAAAATTAAAAAAAACGTCTTCATGATTTAATATTTATGTAAATTAAAAAAAAATTCACTTTTATGACAATTTTAGTGAATAAAAATAAAATTATTGTATAAATGAATCATCGAGATGTTATTCCACATAACAACCTACTATTGGCTGGATTTTTTTCCACCAATTTCGTTTTCAACTATAAGTTTTTTTTTTCTTTAGATTTAAAAAAAAAATCAAAGTTCTTAAAATTTAATTCTTCACAAAATGACCATAATCATAAAAATTTGAAAAAAAAAATAATTTTAATAATATAAAAAACCCAGAAAATATAATTCTCCCAAAGTTATAAAAATTTAAGGGATACTTCTATTTATTATACTAGTGACTTTGTAAAATAAATTTTTTCAAAATAAGTTTTTGAAGTTTTAATATTTTAATTTTAAGAAATATTAGTTTTTATAAAATATAATGATTTTTTTTTAAAAAAAAGCAAATGATAGAGGTCTTTGTCTATTTTAGTGTGTTTGTAAAAAAAATTCAAAAATATTATTATTAAGTCTACGAACGTTATATTTAAATGATTCTAACTTTTTATAAAAAAAGATGTAAAAATTTTGGTTTTCCGAATTAGAAATCCTTTTAAACGAACTTTAATTTATGTATCATATATTATAAAATTTTTGAAAAGAAATTTTTAAGAAAAGGTTGTTTAGATATTGAAATTTATTTTAAAATATTATAATGTTTTTTAAATAAAATACTGAACATAATATAATCCAAAATGAGATAATTTAAAATATTTATGATTTAAAAAAAGTTATGATTTAACATGTTTATGATACTTAATTTGCTATGATCTAAACATATTTTGATTCAAATATTTTTTTTATTATTAATTATATCTTTTATGATTCAAAATATATAAAGATCCAAAATTTATTTTTTGAACAAATGTTTTATTTAATTTAATATATTATTGATCCAACCTTTGGGCCGTAAACTCAAGAACACCAAGTGTTCTTGGGCCGTGAACCCTTCTTCTGGGCGTGAACTCCAATCGGCTTCCATTTTTGCTTCTAACACTCTCATTTGTAAGTTAAACTTACAAATTTGTTCATTTCCTTAACATATTTGTGATTATATTCACTAAAAATATACATATATTACATGAAATGCTTATTGGACTCGGGATATAACTTGTGGATATAACATCCTATATTGAACCTCCAATCGAATCACTCACAAAAGGTGAGTTCATACCTCTATATTTTTATGATTTTTAATTGTTTTAGGGGGGGGGGGGGGATACGAGTGAAACACAATGAAAATTGTGTTAATATCTAAAATGATTTTAATTGTTTATTAAGTTTTTAAATTGTTATTATTATCAAAAATTACATATTTATATATGTGTAAATTATATAATTTGGATTCAAAAGATTTAGAATATATAATTTGACCCTATTTCCTGTTCCTTGTTTGGTTGTGGGCTTGGAGTAAAGTTATTTAAATTGAAAGTCTAATTAATCACAATTATATAAATATTACATTTATATAAATATAAAAGGGTTTTCAAACTGTTTTGTACTATTTGGTACAAACAGTGAACTTCATGGAATAACAATATTACCAATTCTTACCAACAGTTAAACTATAATAGGTATAGTTTAGAGAACTCATTCATTGGTTTCAAATTTCATAGTACATAACAGAAAACAAATAGAATACTTAATGGAAAACGAGTAGAAAACATTCTTCAGAAAACAATCAGAAAACAACCATATAAACTATATCTTATGAAACTGACCTACTGAGTATTTATTACAAAATAACTTGTCAGTATTCTATACATAATCATCAATATAACATTTGTGAGGAAACCTTCATGTACTTTTATAAGTATCCCCCAAGTCCTGAAATTATAACCAGAGTCTCCTGGAGGGAGAGCGCAACACTTGTGTATAGATCTATACGGGACTGACAATCCCGCACCAGAGCTGCTTGCAACAGCTAGGTCAGCAAACCTGTGGTGACAAATGTCCTACCAATTGCGACGCCTGAAGAACGTCGTGTTCAGGCGATCATAGGTCATCTAGTATGGTTATAATAACTCACATTTTGATATTGAATAAAATGATTAGTGTATGAATAAGTAAAATTTCACATAGTTTTATCTTTATAAAACTATAACACAGTATTTGACAAGTATAAATACGGAATACTATTTTCGTATAGGAAAACGCCTTTCTTTATGGTTTTATGTAAACTAAATTACATTTTTACCACTTAATAACACAGAAACTTTCATTCTTTTGCTTACCGTATAATACAACAGAAAATATAGGATTTTCTGGGAAAAACGTGTTTACTTTATCAAAGAATGAGAAAACGGATTTGAGTTATAAACATGCTTATGCACTCACCAACTTAATTGTTGACACTTTTTCAAAACTACTTGTATTCTCAGGGAAACAGTAATACAGGTACAGCCTCCACTTTTGAGAAGACGAAGCTCTTTAAACTCATGTCTTTTGAACTTATACTTTTAGTGTCATGAATATTATGTTTTGAACACAGATGTAAAACTTGTAACTTTGTAAATACAATGGTTGTTGTTGTACTTTGATTACTATTATGCATTGTTGTGATACTGAACATGACGCCCTCCGCCCCCGAATGTTTCCGCCGTTCTGGTTTGGGGGTGTGACAACAGTAGGATCTACAAGAT